TATATATATATATATATAATGTTGTCGCAAACATTCAGTCTTTTAGTTCTCAGTTTATCAAAGTTCGACTGTGAACATTTTTATTACTTTTTTTTCTTGCTTTACAGTAAAAAGGTTAATGATTATGAAAGACTGAAAACGTCAAAGAATAAGTCAACGATTTTCTGTATGAGTGAGACAACTTTTCAGCCATATCAATCTGTTACATTGTAAAATTTAGTCAGTGTTCTAATTATTTTAACTGCTATAACATTTTGTTAGTATTATGTCATAAAATCTCAAATTTGCCTTCCTCTTCACGTGTCAAATTTCGTTAAAAGTGGCATTCTGCTACATACGTAAAACCGTATGTTTACGAATATTAAGTAAATTCTAATGGCTAGAAACAGGAAACTTCTGATTGTTACAGATGAGCAAATTTATGAAGAACATAAATCACTAAGTTCTTTGTTTCTGGTAACTGTTTTTCCGTGCTGTTAAATATGGTAAAGCTCAAAAAAGACGCACCTGGGAGGTGTTCATTGTTAGCGAACATTAAACAGCTTCTGCAACCACCGAATAAAATGATGTAGGACTTACTACTGTTATTTGTGGATCTGACGTAGTTTCAACATGACGTAATCAGCATTTAATGACTGATGTGTCTTCGTATAATATATCCAACTGGTCGTTGCTACTATCACTTACGACTTAGTACTCGCTTGTTGGGAGGGTTAATAACGAATAATTGGGATTTTAAATAGAAGTAAAAATACTAGTTTTGACAAAAGCATAATAATAGCCAATCTAAGTATGTTTTTTTTCAATTTGGACTTTCAAGCTTAGTCGTCTGGTTCTCCGTTGGAAAATAATTGAAACGCAATATTTTTTGGAGCAAGAATGTCATCTAAAATTGGCCAATAAATTTAAAAGCTGTCTGGAACCGTAAAAGAAGCATGGTTCTGATTTAGCAGCCAGCAAAATCAGTAAGTGCAAAAAATTTGCAAAAAAATTTTAAAGAAAACTTTAAAAAAATTTAATAATACTGAGTTGATAAATATGAAGTTTTTCAAATACTCTGATCAACTTTGCAGCTTAAAAAATTATCATCTAACATGTGATACAGCTAACCAACTCGTACATTTTCATGATAATTTAACTTTTTGTAGTTCACTATATCTGATTGCACTTCTGAAATCATACTCTAGTCGCTTTTTGTCGTATGGCAAAAATTTTCAGCGGTACAACGAAAGAAACAAGAAAAATCGAAGTGATAGGAACAACAACTCAAATATGACGTCTGAAGCTGTATTTTAAGTGTCTAAAAAAAACTTTCATTCAACTAATGCTACATAATTTTACTTTCACTGGTGTTCATTTTGCTGTGCTTCTGGAACAGCTGTTTTCTTTATCTTTCTTACAAACTAATTTGCCATTTCATAAATAAATTTTACAGCAGAGAATCGTGATTTAGTCTTATAAGTGTGTCAGTACTTCCCAGACATGTGCAAAACAGAGATTGAAATTATCACTGGCACGACGTTCTTCATTCTTCGCCAATTCTTCAGAAGCGTAAGCAGTTTCTTTACTTCTAGTCAGAATTGACTTAAAAAAGAAATTAACCCTCAGTAATTAGGACTTATACTGGCTGCAACTCTTTGCCGTTGGAGAATTATGTTTGGTAGCCAAAGTGCTAACGCTGATATTTGTTTGGCAACATGGTTGAAAACAACCCTATTTTGATTGTATAACAGAAATCACTGGCTCGCTGGTGGACGATTTTACATGAATCTGTTCAACGATAGATATTAACATGACTGTGCCCTCATTAATGTTGCATTTGTTGATGTATCAAAAACCATAATAGCTGATTTTATATCGACGACCGTAGTGTGGTGTCTGTAAAACTGAAACGGCTGACTTCAAGAATTGTACAAGAATGGGAATTGACACCTGACCTTCGATAACGTGTCACCAGCAATGTACACGCGATCTTCCAAGAGTTTTAAGACCTTTATACCACAAAAAAACTTATTACGATGATTACTTTACACAGTTCCGATTACCGCTTGATTGGAGCACAGTTTAAGATTACGACCTTCAGTCCAAATGACGACTGGGCTGTAAGGTGTGTCTAACTTGGCTCCTCTATTTCCAGCAGGGAACAGAGCAGTTTTAACAATCAGATATAAAATCATTCCTTTTCAGTACTTTTTTTGCGATTTTTCAAGTAATATCTTCAACTCCCTTCTTCCCATTTGATTTTCCGAACTGCATTTGCATATGTTTGACTAACAAGCCCACTGACAGGCAATGATGCAAGTGACGAGACCCGGAAATAAACTTTTAACACAAAGATTTTTTTCAGAAATCTCAGTCTAATCTTTAGTACGTAAACCGATCGGCAAAGCTATACAAACATGAAATTCATAGATAAAGGGGATGGTTTGTTCTCATTATGGGTATTTTTCCTAATATTTATTTTCTGGACTACTCTAAAATATTTTAACAAGGCAAAAAGTTGGAAATAATTCTTGACCTTTGCTTCTGCGCTTTGTAACTTCGGTTCCCGACATTTCTGAAAAGGATCGGCGTTGTCAAAACTTTTGATGTTATCCATCCATACCACTAACTATGTTTTCTGCTAATTTTTATCTGTTTTATTTCGTTGAAACATTGTTAATACGTTTTGATTATTTCTGGCAAACAAACAATCTGCTTGATTCACTCTGCAGCAAAACTATAAATATTTTAATCGTACTAAAAACCGCATCTCGTAATAAGTGACTAAATTTGTCCAGAAAGTACAGTTTGACAAACAGATCAATAAGATTAGAGTAGTGCTAATCAATCATAATATTTTCCAATATCAGAAAAAAAAATGCTGGAAAAACACCACGTATTCTACACAATTACCACTTACGATGACAAGAAATTATTGTTGTAAACGACATCAAATGCCTGCTGTTCCGAGACTTTCCAACACATTTTAAGCAGCTTCTTTTTTCTGAACCACTAATGGTCCTACATTGTCGCCAGACTGCGCATTATGAGCATTATGCGTACCATCACAGTAAGGAAACTTAAAAAGGACAGCACAAACAACGGCATTAGACGAAAGATGATAATTTGAGATGTTACTAAATCACTAAAAATTATTTACCTTCTCACTTTTCCAGCATCGGCAATACACTTTCTTGTCTCCGATGTCTTCCATTTCAGCCACATCGACTACCTGAAACAGCACATTATTAATGCTGCGAAGAGCTGGTGATTTGGAGGTCAATAAGCCATGAAATTTTTTCCAACCGGTGATAAGAATAACAGATCAACTGTGGATATTCAAAATGATAACATTTAATGATTGCGAAAAAGGAGAGACAATGTTGCTTACCTTACTCGACAAAAAATAAGCATATTTAAGATTAATATTTTAAAATAAAGTATAAAACTCTTGAGTGACTCAGTTAAAATTAGTGCTGCTGTTAGAAGAATTAAAAATTAAAGTAAATGACTAGTGCTACTTTATCAGACGACAGTTTGATGCAGTGATTAATGCGGTCACGTTTACGAGCTACGCAGGTACCAACGCAGTAGCCGATGGCAGCCCCACCAGCTACAAGAGCCAAGCCCATTGCAATACATTTGAATCGACAGTGATCACATGCCACTGAAACTCAGCGCTAATCGTAAAACGCAGTGAAACAACGATCATCCTAACAATATTCACATCAAAACAACGGAAAAGAGCACAACAAATTATCGGAAGTCTCATGACAACATTACCTTCGAAAAACTTAACAACTTCAAAAAGTAAAGATAATATCCCTGAAGATAATATTCCTGATGGGATTTAAAATATCCGGTTGCAAAATCCAAAAAATATTTAAACACTTACCAGCCTTAATTTCGTCTCTCATTTTTTGCACAATAACCAGCTACTAACCCTGAAACAGAGCGGCCCTTTACTGTTGTCTGAGAACGAAAAAAAAAAAGCGAAGTGCCCACGTCATTTTTAAGTCAGATAGCAGAATAACTTTATATAAGTCTTGAGTAACAATTTTTTTCAGTAATTCTCCTCAGTTACATCATTTTTGAAAGCGCTTCCAGAAAATCCGATAAAAACCTCCGGCGTATATTATAGCCAAAGGTACAAAACAATAGGAAGCGAACAGTCCTCGCATTTCAGCGAACAAATGTTTTTTGGGATTAAAAGATAGCAACAGTTTTCAACTATTAGACTTTATTGCTTACTGTCACGCTCAATTTTTTTCTTTATCTACACAATTTATTCAAGGAAAATACTTGCTGGAAAACAGTTAACTGTCAAATGAAAAGCCTTTTTCGCACCCGAACTCCATCATATAAAATGAAAGGAAACAAAGTACGATGTCGAAATAACAGTTGCGGCAACAAGACTTCAGTTGATGCTTTTTTAGCATGAAAGCGTATAAAAATGAAGAAGAAGTCACTGTAAAAGATGGCAAGATGTGTAAATTTACTGACGACAGCAGTAAGTGCATACAACCAGCAGTACTCACCCTAAACTCGTGAACTTCCACCTATACCATTTGTCATTGGAAACCTCATGTCATGACGCCCTTCAGATGGCAAAATTCCAATGCGTACCGGTGGTTTTTTTTACCGTCAGAGTGTGACGCAGATGGGCGAAGTGTAAGGATCGTGCCATTTCCACTGTGCTGTCCCAGATTCCCGCCAGCACTGAATGTACACTTCTGCTGGAACAATCCCAAAATTTCGCAAATAGTAAATAGAAGACTGTTAAAAGTAGAGGAGAAACAAAATTGTTTGCTAGAAGAAGGTTGGAGAGGAAGAAGTGTTGTGATTACCGTCAAATAAGTCTTTAAAAAGTCCAGATAGTTCGGGTCGGTTCAAAAAATGCTAGATACTGCTCTGATTAGCCGAACAGTAGTTTCCAATTGACAT